CAAGAAAAACAGTTACGAGAAAGTTATAGATGTATCTCAATACATGTAATATTCAAAAGCTTGTCCAAGTTCATGAATAAAAACTTGTCAAAGTTGTTTCAAACAAAACATGTGTATTCCTATTTCTTTCATCGTATTATAACACCATTATGAAGTTGAGACGTCTTCTTCATTAAGTGTCGATATATAAAAGGGCCCTCTTTTATAAACTTCATGTTAATAAGTCATGAGAAGAATCAAAGCATTTTCAAAGGATAAAAATGCTAAACTATTCTATAAGTCCTAAATAAATAAGGAAAAGGCAAGAATAGAACACATTGAAGTACTAACAAACTTCTTAATATAATTAAAAAGACTAAGTAGTAACTTAGTCAATAAAAGTTTATACAAGTGCCCCATTATGATAACTGGGGACTTTCACCAAAAAATCCCTTAAAAACTAACTAAGGAATAAAACAATCATCCAATAAAGAAAGAAGAAAGCAAAGCCTGGAAATTTAACTGGTTACTGAAGGGGTTAGCACATCAGAAGTTGCAATATTAATTTCACTTTCAGAAACAACCACAGACACGGTGGCAACTTCTGAAGAAGCAGCAACAGGAGCAATTTCAGCTGAGCTTGAAGTGTTAGGATCAATGAGGGGAGCAAGAGTCACGGAAGCTTCAACTTCCACAGATTGAGTCATAGAAGTTTCACCCTCTGGAGCTGGAATTGCAGCATTTTCAACTTCAACTGGCACAACAATGGCTTTGTCATTTAAAGGTTCTTCAGCCATGGGAGCTTCAATTGCCGGAGAGGAAAAGTCAAGTGGTTGTTGGGTTCTCTCAATAGTCTCTAAAACTTTGGCCAACTCTGAGTTTAAATCAAAGTTTTCTTGACTGGCATCCATTAAAGCATCACGACGAGAGTTTAGAAAAGCCCAACTCACCTCTATGTTAAAATTCTCCTCAAGAAGTTCATACTCCCTTCCCACATAGCAAGATCATTCTTTAACACTTGATTTTCAGCTAAAGAAGAATCAAAGGAAGCTTTAAGGGAGGCATGAGAACTCTCTAAGGCACGAACCTTATCAGAAGAGATTTTTAAATCAGCTTAAGCTTGAGTCAAGCTTTGCACTAACTCCCCTGTATACTCTTCTTTCTTGGCCAAGAGTGCCCTAAGTTCTCTGATCTCTTCACTGCACTTTGATAATTGTTATGAAAATGAACACTCAAGGCGCTCCTTATCTTTTTCAAATTGGCTTGAAGAAGCCTTGGCAAC